GTTAAAATGTCCACACTACCCAAAGTAATCTACAGATTCAAGGCAATCCTTATTAAAATAGCAATAGTATTTTTCACAAAACTAAAACAAATACTATTAAAATTTCTAGGAAACCACAAAAGACTCTAAATACCCAAAGCAATCTTGAGGAATAACAAAGCTGGAAGTATCACAGTCCCAGATATCAAACTATACTACAAGGCAATAGTAATCAAAAGTGTATGGTACTGGCACAAAAACAGACAACTGGATCAATGAAACAAAATCGATAGTCCAGAATAAACTCATGCCTAGATGGTCAACTAATCTATGACAAAGGAAACAAGAATATACAATGGAAAAAAAAGACAGAATCTTCAATAAATGGTCTTGGGAAAACTGGCAGCTATATGCAAAAGAAAGAAACAGGACCCCTTTCTTGCACCATACACAAAAATAAACTCAAAATCGATTATGGACCTAAATGCTGAGATATGAATCATAAAAGTCATAAAAGAAAACATAGTAATCTGTTTGACTTCAGCCTTAGCAACATTTTCCTAGATAGGGAAAAAGGGAAAAAGAAGCGAAAATAAACTATTGAGACTATACCAAAATAAAAAGCTTTGCACAGTGAAGGAAAGCATGAACAAAATGAAAAGGCAACCTACTGAATAGTAGAAGATATTTGCAAATGATAAGTCTGATAAGGAGTTAATATTCAAAATATACAAAGAACTTACACAACTGAACACACACAAAAAACAAACAATCTGATGAACAAATGGGCAGAGAAACTGAATAAACCTCTTTTCCAAAGAAGACGTGCAGATGGCCAATAGACACATGAATATATGCTCAACATCACTCATCATCGGGGAAATGCAAATCAAAACCACAAAGAGAGGGGTGCCTGGGTGGCTCAGTCTGTTAAGCATCTGACTTCAGCTCAGGTCATGATCTTAGTGTCCTGGCATCTGGCCTGTGCTAGGCTCTACACTAAGCAGGGCGTCTGCTCATCCCTCTCCCTCTGTACCTCCCTCCACTTGTGCACATGCACTCTGTCTCTCAAATAAATAAATAAAATCTTTAAAAAAACTCACAATGTGATACCACCTTACACCTGTCAGAATGGCTAGGATTGAAAATATAAGAAATAACAAATGTTGATGAGGATGTGGAGAAAAAGGAACTCTTGTGCTCTACTGGGAGAATGTAAGTTGATACAGCCACTTTGGAAAACAGTATCAAGTTTCCTCAAAATATTAGAAATGGAACTATCACACAATCAAGTAATGCTACTACTGGATATTTATCCAAAGAAAACAAAAACCCTAATTTGAAAGATACATGCAGCCCTATATTTATTTCAGCATTATTTACAATAGCCAAGATATGGAAGCAACCTAAAAGTCTGTCCATAGATAAGTGGATAAAGAAGATATGGTAATACACACACACACACACACACACACACACACACACACAAAACTGACTATCACTAACCCATAAAAGAATGAGATCTTGCCATCTGCAAACAACATGGGTGAAACTAGAGGGTATTATGCTAGGTGAAATAAGTCATACAGAGAAAGACATACATTATATGATTTCATTTATCTGTGAAATTTAAAAAACAAACAAAACTGGTGTAAGGTGATATCTCAATGTGGTTTTAACTTGAATCTCCCTGATGGCTAGTGATGATGAAAATTTTTTCATGTGTCTGATAACCATTTGTATGACAGCAAGACAGGAAACAACATGGGTTGGAGGGGATGTGGAGAAAGGGGAACTCTCTTACACTGTTGGTGGGAATGCAAGTTGGTACAGCCACTTTGGAAAACAGTGTGGAGATTCCTCAAGAAATTAAAAATAGAGCTTCCCTATGACCCTGCAATTGCACTACTGGGGATTTACTCCAAAGATACAGATTTAGTGAAAAGAAGGGTCATCTTTACCCCAATGTTTATAGCAGCAATGGC